AAAAAAAAAAGAGAAAGTACCACTAGATAGAGAAGTAGAACCACAGGGGAAGAAACATAGATTCTAAAGAGAGCAGGAAAACCAATAATCTCAATATTCATTTTGTTAATATCAGCTCTAGTGAAATGACATTCACTATACGTCTAAACCTTTCAATGGAAGTAAAACATAGCAATATAAAATTCAATACATTCTAAATAGTCCTAAAAGATAAACAGTCTTAAATTGGAAATTATGTATCGAAACTAAAGCACATCCTAGTACAATAACATTCTAGTACATAAATACACAATTCAAATTCTAATATCCCAATCTTGTTTTATATCAGTATATATTTGGGCCATTATTGATTTCCATGGTTGGGAAGCATTTGATTTTCACTTGATTCATAATGGCGAGAACTTGGCTATATAGATGGAAATTCTTAAGCTATAGCTGCACAAGTTTCCAATATTATTGGTATAGAGTTTTCATAGCTTCTGTATTATGATGCATAGAACAAGCAGCCTTTTCACTGGCAAACTTCTTGATTCAACATCATTCAATGTGCTGTAATTTTAAATATCTCATTAGTTTTACTTATAAATTTCCCAACATAATGGCTGCTTCTCACATTCTATTGAACTCTCAGATGACTATGGGCATCCAGCACTGTTGCTTGTTGATGGGGTGTCTTCCATATGCGCTCTTGATTTCCGCATGGACGAATGGGGAGTTGATGTTGCTTTAACTGGCTCTCAGAAAGCTCTCTCTCTTCCCACTGGGATCGGTATTGTGTGTGCTAGCCCCAAAGCTCTGGAGGCCTCTAAATCCGCAAAATCGGTGAGAGTCTTCTTTGACTGGAACGACTACTTGAAGTTCTATAAGTTAGGAACATATTGGCCCTACACCCCTTCCATCCAGTTGTTGTATGGGCTGAGGGCAGCTCTCGATCTCATTTTCGAGGAAGGACTCGACAATGTGATCGCAAGGCATAGTCGTTTGGGGAAAGCAACAAGGTAAAACTATATTACTTTCCGCCTACATAGGCACAGAATTTGAATAGCATATACCATGTCTTGTTGTTAAATGAAGTGTTTTACATCGCAATTTTTTCATAAATTTGTTTAAAGCAGGCTTGCTGTTGAGGCATGGGGGTTGAAGAACTGCACCCAAAAGGAGGAATGGTACAGTGACACAGTGACTGCTGTTCTTGTTCCTCCTTACATTGATAGTACAGAGATTGTTAAAAGAGCATGGAAAAGATACAATCTGAGCTTAGGACTTGGCCTGAACAAGGTAGCTGGGAAGGTTTTCAGAATAGGGCATCTTGGTAACCTGAATGAGGTACTCTAAAAACTCAATAGTTTTCTCTTATGAATAAACATTAGTTTAGAAACAAAGAAAATATTGCTTACTCTTTTTCCTGACCTGCTTATCCTTTTGAATTCATGAGAACACAGAAAAAACAATTGTTTATGTCAGTCTTAGAAAAATCATTTGCAATTTATTTTGTTTTATGCATTTTCTGATTTGGTGTTAAAACATAATAAGGGACATATTGATTAGGAGAATTGTACGCTAGGGTATGTTTCAGAACTATGCCTACTGGTAGGGTATACTTTCAACCTTTCAGAGAATTCTCCTAAT